CATGCCCTGTGCCTGAATCCCTGTTCAAATCCAAGCGTGGACCCTTCGGATGCATAACAGAGATGCTTTGCTGCTGGGGCAACAACAGTATCAACAAGTTTGTAATCACCAGCAGAAACTGCCAGTCAAGGTGTTTGCCCACAAAGCCTGACTGACTTGTATCAGGAATCCTTTGGGAATAATATCAATATATGAATAACTACCCAAGGTTTCAACACTCAAAGATAATGCTCAGTGCCCTTCAGTGTATGATTCTGGAGACATTTGGAAATTTTGTGGAAGGAAAATGTGCAGGTATGAAAATAGTGCAGAAGTTGGAAAAGTAGTAAACCTGCATTGAATGAAGCCAGCTCTCAGATTAAACTAGAATTAGTCCAACTTGGAAATGAATTACTAGAGCTTGTGTTGTTGTGTGCACAGTTGGGCAGGCTGCAGGGTTTACTGAAGAGCTGTAGTAGTTTATTGCCTTTTTTCCAGCTTATACCTTCTTTTATACAGGTAGGAAAGATAGAGAGTGAGAAAATCTAATAGTGCCACCGAGGAAACAAGTGACCGTCATACGTTGCAGCATGTACCTTGGTCTCTTTTGGAACGGAGCTGGTGGAGGGAGGAAAGAGTTTGTAGTAGATTGATGGTTATTAGACCTTGTTTGAATCAAGTGGACTTATCTTTAAATAAACATGATGGCCTTGCTATTGATTATCCCAGTCATTGCTTGTAGCTAACTTTCCAAAAATGCCAAAATTCAAGCAGGCACCGTGCACTGAAGCAGAACATATGCCCATAAAAACTAGATCAAATGCACGTGCGTTTAAATTCACATGCCCATGAGGAGTATTGATGTTGCTTACCCAGCTGTCCACTTGCTGTCTCAGAAATGCATAGTTTGAGTCTACTACCAATTTTATTTATAAAAAAAGCATCTTTTTTTATTGGCATCGGGTGTAGACTGCCTCTTGATTCAAACAGGTTTCCTTCTGAAGGAAACAGTATCTGAAGCATCTGTTGTCTTGCAGTCTTGTCTCCTGATGAGCTAAAAGGTTACTATGCTTTGTCAATTATGTTCAGATCATGTTTTTCTGTGGATAAATACATTTTTTGTTTTAATGGAAAGTAGTTAAAATTGTATTGCTCCATAAAGGAAAGCACCAATATACCCTTTCAGAAAAAGCATGGTAGCTTGGGAAAGGCCTGGCCTGCTGAGCTATTTCTTTTTTTTTTTTTTTTAATTTTCCCTGACCATTTTTCTATGGTGATGGCACATTAAGTTCCTTGGAAGGAGATTAACAGCTGATTTTTTTTCAAACAAATTCTCAGTTTGCTTCAATGTACCTCAGCATCTTAGTCCCTTCCTTACTGGCAGTATTTGAATTGCTACTATTTTGGGATGGTTCTAGTATTACAATCTGAGTTGTAAACAGGTTGGACAACAGCAATATCTAACTCTAGCAGCATTTTAGGGAGGATTGTGAGTTAAAAGGTGATTTGGCTTTAGCTGTAACCTCAGTAGGTTTGTAACAGTCTCACAACAGTACTTCTGCTGTCCCACAGGCTTGAGTTCCTCTAGCACAGGCCTGGATGGAAGACAGAAGTCTGAAAACATCTGTTTGTGGTCCAGGGTGAATTGTTTCCCATCCATACTATTTAGGACCTTTTAGGGGCTCTCTTAGTGTTTCATGGACAAAAACCCTTCAGTTTCTTAGGGCAATAATATTGGTGGGAGTGTAAATATAGGACATGTGCCTCTTTCCCAGTCTTCCCAGTACAAAGTCCATGGTCATGACCTACTGCCATGGTCATCTTAGTATCTGGGCAGCTTGCGATACTGGACCTGTATCCTGATACTTGTTTCTTTGTTTTAGCTGCTAGACCAAGCTTCCCTCCATCACACACCAGCTGGCTGCATTATTAAATATGTGACCAAGTCCTTCCTCCCATCTCAGTAGGGAGTACAGGTCCCTGGTTTTAACCAGACTGACTCTCCTGAGCTGGGACACCCAAACTGGTACCACCCTAACTTTTAGAATGTAGCTGTGCATTAGAGCACCGTTGGCATCTCATGGATGAAAATCCACTGCCTAAATACCTACAGTTCCCTTCTGCTTCTATCCCCCATGAAGATGTCAAAATTAATGGAGTTAGCTTTGATGCTCCACAATGAAGTTGGTGTTACATGTGGAAATTGTAGTCTCTTAGTAGAATGTGATTCTTGTTGTTAGAAGTGTGTATAGCATTGGAGAGAAACCAGCCATAGACAGACATGAAAAATAAAGGGATTCTGTAATCTGCTACAAATCCACGATGTCTGTGTTAGAAGGAGGTTGCTGTGGCCTCCCTCTCTGATCAGCGGAGGGAGGCTAGTACATCCTGAGGAGCTCGGCCTCTAAGGTCTGAGTTGTTGGTTAACTGGACAAAGTTGAACAGGGCGAAATGCTTTGGAGATTGGTTTTGGCTTTTTGGAAAGTTCAGTAACACTTTGGAAAGATGCACCTGGATTTCTTTGTATTAGTAAACGAGAAGCCATGCCAAAGTGGCTAGGTCAGATTTGGCTTCGGAAGACCAAGGCTGCAGAAGGAATGAATTCATTTTGCAAGTGAATATGTGGAGCTAACTCATCCTAAACCCTAGGATGTGGTGGCTGGGAAACCACCGTCTGTTGAGCAAGTGGGTGGCTGTCTGACTGCCCACAGCCATTTCAGGGATAACACAACGTTTGCAAAAGTCTTGGCTGGCTGAGCAAGTCCAGATGAGGTGATAGATTGCAACCACCCTCTGTGTGGCTGAAGTATGGCAAGAACAGCATGGTTTGGTTGTTGTAATGTATGCACAGTAATGAGCGTTTTGACTTTGTATTCAGTGGACTTCTTTGGCTCATTCCAAGTCTCCTTTCAATATCTTGGTCCTGCTGCTACACCAGAGACTTCATTGCATCCCCTGTTCAACAACGTACATGCCTCTGGCATTTGAATGGGAAGCTTTCTCTTAGTGCTGTCCAGGGAATATTTGCCCTGCGTTTGAGATGCAGCTTTTGTTTCCTGTAAAAACAGATGTGCTTAAGTAAAATGTGGAAAATGGGTCCTGTTTTGAGGACAGGACTCTCTAAAATAATTGGATCCCTATTTTTGGTATCTTCAAGTTGGAACTGCCTTTGGAAGAGCTGTTTTATAAATGTCCATACGTTCAGTTCACTAAGTTGCAGAAGACATTTCGAGGCATATGGAAACAAGCCTTTAGAAATGAGCTGGTGGTGGAAAAAGAAATATAACTTCTGTCATATTTTGAGCTCTTTGGTCAGTAGATTTGAGGCAGAAATATATGCATCTAAATACCAGTCACTCCCCACTCTACCTTTTCTTCCATTTGTTGTCTGGACTATGGCAACAGCTTCCTTGCTTCTGAACTGCTGCTGCTTAAAATGCTGCTGCAAAAAGTACTTCCTCCACAGCTTTCCTCCAAGTTCCAAGCCTTGTCTCTTTGTACTCTCTCCTGAATTCAGAGCAAGACTCTGGTTCTCTACTTTTAACATCCTTCTGCCTCCCACCTAATCTTCTATTCCTATTTGCCCACATGTTAGTGGCTTCAGCTGAGGTATATTCCGTTCTTCTCCATTTCTTCCATGGAGCATCCCACCTTTGTAATAGTCTCTCTTGCCATGCGTCAATTAGTTGCTTCTTTTTTTGTGTATGACTATTGGTTATTTTGATCAAAATAACCCTCTTGACAATGTACTTTCTCCTGGTCTGGGTCCCAGTGTCTCATCAGTCCTGCCATGGTGTTCCATGGTTTGGTCACCAGAATGTGTTTTTTTATGGTCAGTAGAAGCCTGGTGATTATTTTGCCAGGCTGAGGTTTTTGTCATGGTGATCATTTGCAAAGTGTCATGTATTTATGGCATGATACGGATGATAGAATCCATTGAAAGCTTTTACAGGACAAAGCTGTGTGTGGTGGCTTGTCTGAGTTCATAGAGCAGTCACCCAGCCAAGTATCTGAGACCACTCTACAGTCTCTGTCCATGCTCCTGGCTCTCTCCTCCTGACAACATGAACAGGTTTCCATGAAGAAGGTGTCAATCAAGAGCTTTAAATTCAGTGGCCATACTTATGGGGTCAGAATTTGCTGGGAATATTTTATTATTCCCTACAGCTGGTCATCTCTTTCCTTCTGCTGTTTGCCCTGAGGGTTTTGGGGAATCTGTTTTTGATGGTTGATGTCCTAATTCTTCTAATGTAGTTTGAAAAATATCTTAAGGATGTGCTGTTCCTTTTCCACAAATGTGTGATAGGTACACACTGAAAATTCTGCGTGTCTCCTGTCTTGTTCCTTCTGCACAGATTTATGTTCCTGGCGTGTGGTCCAGTGCCCTGCTGACTACGTAAGCTGCTACTTTGCTCAGTGGTTTACCACTAGATGCATTAAATAAATATGCTTTATGTAATATTTGTGCTCGGGTTGTAATGATTTTGCCTGCTTCCGGACTCTAAACAAGTAATGCAACAAAAGTGGTCTGTAGAATGCACCTTGCTGCCAGTAAACATCTGTATTGGCATCCTTGTTTGTGTCCTGAGCTATTGAAGTTGGAAGAGAGAGGTTGTATATTGCCCTTGAGCATCTTCCCTGAAAGCTAGATCTTGAAGTGGCAAAAATAAGTTCCAGCTTTGATCAGACCTCTTAGCAGGTAGTGTGTGCGGGGCACATAATCTCAGGGCTACAAGATCCTTAAAGACCTTTCCTCTAGCAAAGATGACTGCTTCTGGGTGCTATGCCATGTTGTTTGGAAGTATGGCTTTTTCAAAACTGTTAAAGCTCCTCTTCTGGCTCCTGGTGCAGTCGTTATTTCCCTCTCATAGAAGACCACTGCCACTGGGGGAGGTAATCTCTTGTTCCCTCTTGGTCATGGCCTGCTCACCTAGCTGGCTTAGAAACCTTTGGCTGCCCTCCCTTACGGTACGTCAGTGTCAGTAACCCCTTCCTGTGATTTTTGTCTCTTCTAACAGTAGCTATTGATGGAAGAACACGGGGTGACCCAAACAGAGCACATGGCCACCATCGAGGCCCACGCAGTGGCCCAGCAGGTGCAGCAGGTCCATGTGGCCACCTACACAGAGCACAGCATGCTGAGTGCAGACGAAGACTCGCCGTCTTCACCGGAGGACACCTCCTACGATGACTCTGACATCCTCAACTCCACGGCTGCCGACGAGGTCACCGCCCACCTGGCTGCGGCAGGTAGAGTCAGCGGGATGCTCGGTGTCGTTCGCCTAACGTAGTGTTTGTGCAGAGGTCGTGAACAGCGCTTGAGGGTGGTGGGTGATCTTGTCACCCCACGGGATGCTCTGAATGCTTCCTTACTGCCCTGGCTTTAATAGCGCTTCTTTGCAAGGTCTGCTGGCTGCTTGAATCTTGCATCACTTTAGCTGTGTGTAATATAGAGGTACTGGGAATAAGAGACTGGTTTGTACAATAAAAAAGGTCCCTGGTAAATGCTGCCTCAAAAAAACAAAACTAGAATATCAAATATGTCAAAGAGCAAGCTTATTTCAGGCCCATATAAACAACAGCAAAAATAACCCAGGAGTGCTATGCAACCCTGCTTAGCCAGGGAGCTCACATGCTAGGCCTCTCCCAAGGAGACGCCACAAAGGGTCCTAAAGTATTTCAGAATCACAGACTCCTTCCAGTGAAGCCCCTGCCAAATGTCCTCCAGATTTGCCTTGTAGTGGATCTACCTCAGTAGTAGAAAAATGCAGTGATAAATAAGCACTCACAGACTTGTCTGACTCCTTATCAGACTTTATCTGAGGAATAAACTTTCGATGTGCTTGACTGGACCTGTGAAGTTCCACCACCCCACTGAGCATCCCACACCCTTTGCTTATTAATTTTCCAACCTCAGCTCCCGCAGGATTTTTTCTTTCCTCCACTTCTAGCACACAAGCTTTTCAGTCCCAGCTGGTGGTTGCAGGAGGGGCATCTGGTGGCTCTCGCCTGCCTGCAAGCCCTCCCAGCACAGGGGCTGCCGGGTGCCCCTCCAGCCCCTGGCCAAGTGGGCACCGCGAGCCAGGAGCAGCCCCGCTTCCCTGGGGCCGGCAGCTGCAGTTCATGGCATGGGCTGACACATCCAGCCCAAAGCTTGCCCAAGAGCCCAGGGTAGCACTTCCTCACTTCTCCTGAGCAAATGTTTTTACAGTCTCCCAAAAGGTAACGTTTTTATTCTTTTTTCACAAGCACAGGATCGTTGGAGCAGTACGCAGCAGTGCTTGCTGTGCCTGCTGTGGGTAGTGCTCAGGTAGTTCATTACTGATTAACAAAACATGGCTCTGTAGTGTCACCCAGAGCTCTGTCTGTTACAGCATCCCATCTCCCAGAGCAGCTGCCTAGAGGAAACGTATCATCGGATGCAACTTTCGTTACCATCTACCAGCTTTCACCAATCAGTAGCTTAGGACTTCCTGATCCAGTAGCTGCATCTTTGTTAAACACAAAAATATAGTGGTTTTTATGACCCCTGATGTGATCCTTCACCTCTGTCATGTGGAGCAACTACACACAGAGCAACTGAGGTCTGCTTGGGAGTCAAAGGCAAGTCCTTGAGCCTGCATTAGACCCCAGAGCTTTTTGACTCTGACCCTGCACTCATTTCTGGAGATCACTAATGGAAGCACCATACACTATGTTACTTGGTTTACTTCCAATTAACTTAATGTAACTTCCCCTTACATAGACTCTGTCTAGAGTTTGATCATGAAAGCAATAGCACTGCCCTGCCATGGTCCCTGCTGTTCCTCAGGGGACTGTTGCAGGATGCTGCCAGGAGCTCTGGATTTACAATTTCTTTCCCATCAGAGCTGGTCCTTAATCCCTGGGGAAAGCCGCAGACTCCTGGCGCTGTAGTTGAGGTGTCTGAGTAGGATTCATGGTGTTGTACCTGGTGTCTTCTCTCTTGCTACCGGGATATCCTCAGTTGCAGTCAGTTATTGAAAGTCTTGGCATACTTGAGAGTTTTTCAGTATGTTTTGAAGATAAAATACATAATTATGTGATTGTAGGGAAAACTGTGGACTGAAATATGTGACTTTCACCTGGGACTGAGCTGGGATTTGCCAGGGAATGGAGCCTCTTGAGACATGACTCTGATGCTGGAGAGGAGGGATCCCAGCTGCTGGGGAGCTCAGCGGGGAATTTGGGTCACCCCAGTTCAGTGGGGAGGCCCTTGAGCTGAACCCATAGCACCCCTCCCTGCAGGGGGGCAATGGCAATGTTCTTTTTGGCCAATTCCTGAGTTGCGTGTGCTGATTCACCCTTTGTGGTTTGATTTCCAGGCCCTGTGGGGATGGCAGCAGCTGCTGCCGTGGCAACGGGTAAAAAACGAAAGCGACCACACGTTTTTGAATCCAACCCATCAATCCGCAAGAGGCAGCAGACACGTTTGCTACGGTAAGGACTCCTGCCTGCGCTCTGACACTTCAGTCTGCATCCTCGATCTGTCTCTAGTGCTGTGCATGGTGAGACCATGTGCTGTCCAGAAGCTGCCCAGCTTGGGAATTTTTTGGGCATCTTTTCTGGAACCCAAGAGCTGTGTTTTAGTTTGCAGAAATGGATTAAATTGCAGTTCTATTCATCTTTAATGTGATATTATGATCACTGGGACTGACATGACCATTCCGGTGGGATCCACCATTCTGCTTTAACCCCAGCTAGTCACAGATTAAATCTGTCATGGTAAGACATGCCTTGCAAGATATCCATAGTGGCTTTAACAGCAGCGGGCCTGAGAATCTGGAGCTACAGCCATATCCCAGCTCTGCGGTGACACAAAGGACTTATCTACCTAATGGAAAAAGTCTTTTCTGCGTTATGAAATGATCCTGTGAAAAAATCTAGTCTGCGCGTTCCTGATTTTCCTTTGCCAGGGGACCCCATTGTGTGAGCTCTGTGCTGAAGACTGACTCAGCCTGTAGCACACAGTGTTGGGGGAGAATAATAGAGGGGAGATACCTGCCAGAGCTGAAACACTTTCTTTGGCTTTAGAAACTTGCTTTGTAGACAGCAAACTTCCGTAGCCCTTCAGGTGTTGCATTACAGGTGCTCTGAGGCTGTCTGTCCACCTGATGGCCACCTAGGAGCACTGGTGCTGAAGTGACTGCACAGGCTTTCTGCAAGCCTGGAGAGATCACCTGTAATTCCATTTTCAGGAAACATTTGTAAATATTGGCTGGTACTATTTACTAGGTTTTGGAACAGAGCAATTTTGCTTTTCAAACTGTTTTAGATTTAATTGGGTTATTGTATTGGGTCTGTGTGGCAAGGTTTTGGTAGCGGGGGGGCTACAGGGGTGGCTTCTGTGAGAAGCTGCTAGAAACTTCCCCTATGTCCGACAGAGCCAAGGCCAGCCGGCTCCGAGACGGACCCACCGCTGGCCAAGGCTGAGCCCATCAGTGACGGTGGTAGCACCTCTGTGATAACATATTTAAGAAGGGAAAATAAAAGTTGTTGGGGCACAGAAACTGCAGCCAGAGAGAGGAGTGAGAACACGTGAGAGAAACAACCCCGCAGACCCCCAGGTCAGTGCAGAAGGAGGGGAGGAGATGCTCCAGGCGCCGGAGCAGAGATTCCCCTGCAGCCCGTGGGGAAGACCACGGTGAGGCAGGCTGTCCCCCTGCAGCCCAGGGAGGTCCACGGGGGAGCAGATCTCCACCTGCAGCCCGGGAACAGAGGACCCCACGCCGGAGCAGGGAACGAGTGATGAGTCCTGCCTCTGAGGAGGAAGGAGCAGCAGAGACAACGTGTGATGAACTAAGCCCAACGCCCATTCCCCGTCCCCCTGCACCTCTGGCGGGGGGGTAGGTAGAGAATTCGGGAGTGAAGCTGTGCCTGGGAAGAAGGGAGGGGTGGGGGGAAAGCGTTTCAAGATTTGGGTTTATTTCTCATTACCCTACTCTGGTTTGATTGGTAATAAGTTAATTTTCCCCAAGTTGAGTCTGTTTTGCTCGTGACAGTAATTGGTGAGTGATCCCTCCCTCCCTGTCCTTATCTCGACCCACGAACCTTTTGTTATATTTTCACTCCCCTGTCCACTTGAGGAAGGAGAGTGATAGAGCAGCTTTGGTGGGCACCTGACGTCCACCCAGGGTCAACCCACCACAGTTATATCAGGAGTTGGAGTATTTGTCACTCCGTTTCTTGCTGACTTCCTCCTGCGTGCACACTTAATGTGCTGAAGTAGTGATGGCCAGAGTTTCACCTTTTGTCCCTCTCTCCTAGTCTAACTCTTGTAAAGTTGGTGAGAAATTAAGTTGGTTTCCTTATTATGCTTACGCATTGCTGAGTCCCACAACACCCTTTGCACATGATCAAACTGGAAAGAAGTGGAGCAGGGTTAGCGTTAAATAATATTCCCTGGGAGTGGACTACTTTTTTTTTTTTTTTTTTAATAGCTCCATTCTGCTTTTCCTTCCTTCCCTCAACTCTGCTGACTCAGCCATGTTTATTGCAACGTTTCTGAAGAGACAATTCTTTTCCCTCTTGAATTACGAACAATATATTTTTAAAGAAACTCCTATTTAAAGGAATTATTTCTTCTCCCTTCATGCAACTACTTCATTTAACTACATGCAAGTTACTGACAAAATGCATCATTTTTTTGCACTCTGATCAGTTTGAAATGTTTGTGCTTGATATTTACACCACTGTGAATTGAGTGGGAAGTTACAGTTTCTGATTCCGGGTCTCTGCGTACCTGGTGGTGGCGTTGGTGCTTTTGGCAACGTGTCTGCTGCTAACAGCAGGTTCTGAAATAACCAGGGCAGGTATTAAACTGTCACCTTATGGAGTGCCCAGGTTATCTGGTGATAACCGCTACTTCTCTCTTGCTTTATGAGCTTCTGCCAACATTTCTGACACATTCTCTTGCATTGCTTAAAAGTGAATAAGAGGCTGAAAGTATATGATGGAACATTTTCTTCCTATAGAGAGATTGTTCCAAAGGGACTTGCTGATGTGGCAGATGTCTGAATACCTGGGTTTCCTGTGCTGAGCTATTGCAATATTCCTCATTCTTGCCTGTCCTGTAGTTGTAGGTTGAATTCTTAGAGTTCTGGTTTGAGCAGGACTTTGGTACTAGAGAATTGCAATGCACTGTTATGAGGCTGGATGTAAAATAACCTGTGTTTGCAGTCCTCTTGTTGAATCATTCAAGTTCTCTACCTTACAAGTTTTGTATTGGTAATACACTTAGACAGTGACAGAGCAGATATGCAGACTCTTGCTGTCCTAGCTTTGCTGCTCTGATGATCTCTCTACTTTTTACATCAATGGAAAAAGGAGAGAAGGGAGAATAATTGATATCTGAGCTGCTGGGTGACTGCAGGGAGCACAGCAGGCCTGCGGGAGCAGAGGAAGAAGTGGTACATGTGGCTAATCTGACCAGCTGGGGCTCTGTTTCTCACCTGGTTTTTGAATGGGTAGCATTAAGAAAGAGAGTTTACAATGCAAAGGGTCATGTTTCTGCGGGGCTTTCAGCCGATACCTATTCACTGTTTTATGCCTCTGTTTCAGGAAGCTCCGAGCCACACTGGATGAGTACACCACCAGAGTGGGGCAGCAGGCCATCGTTCTGTGCATCTCGCCCTCCAAACCCAATCCTGTCTTTAAAGTATTTGGTGCTGCACCCTTGGAGAACGTGGTAGGTGTTTCTAGGAAAAACTACATAATAAATTGCTCACCTTTTCTGCAGGTTTCATTCTGCTCCAGGCAGCCTTGCAAACCTAGTAGTGATCTGAAGGTCATGTTTAAAACCCTGGAAACAGGAGTTCAGGTTGTATGGACGTGAGGGTAGCACTGAGGTCCTGTCTTCTCTGCATGAATGGTTGCCTAGCACATCTCACCAGGTTTGAATACCCTGGATTAAAAATCAGAGGGAGCAGGTAGTGATGATGTGTTTGAACTCAGCTTGGCTGTCAGTGCTTGCACCTTATTGCAGACCAGACAGTAAATGGAGCAGATCCTGACCGTAACCCTTGCCTCAGAACTTTTCTGTTAATTCCATAAATAATTCCACTTGCCAGTGTTACTTGATGTTTCATCATCAGCTCTTCAATGCAGCCAAGTCTTCGGGGCCAGTGGGTATTTTTTCTTGCCAGCTGTGGCATTGTTTGCTTCTTCTGTTCTGCAGCACCTTGGGGAAGGTGACTGGCCCTGCATCCTTGCCCTCACCTCTCCTGGTGCTCCTTACCTTGTTTACCTGAGCTTAACGATTCCCCACAGGTACGCAAGTACAAGAGCATGATTCTGGAAGACCTGGAGTCCGCACTAGCGGAGCATGCTCCTGCGCCTCAAGAGGTTAACTCGGAGTTGCCGCCCCTCACCATTGATGGCATTCCCGTCTCAGTGGACAAGATGACCCAGGTAAGCAGCCAGACATGGCAGAACCAGAGAGAGAGAGATTTGGCATCTTTAAGTCACATCCTGTTATTTTTGCAGTGGAGCTTATGTCTACACCTCCAGGGGATGCATTTGATCGCCTCTTTCCCGTGGGACTGTAACAGCTCAGATAGTAGTTAGATGTGAAGCTTTGTTATTGGTGCTTATTTTCTACATGAAACAGTAGAAATGCAGGTAAGGACTATTGCTCAGCTGCTGGGACCATTCCCCTTTGAGCTGTTTTTGTCACCTCCCATAAACTATGAACAGGGAGAATATTTGTTCTGCACTTCACAGTGATTTTTAGGCACTGAGGTCAGGAAGGTTGCTTGTGCTGTACCGTTTTGGCTTATGCTCCTTGGACCTTTCTTGTGTGCTCTAGCTCATTCCCTCCTTACTTTTCTGCTGTGGATTGAAGCAGAGGGGACCTTACCAATGGTTTAACTTCAGATCAGACCCTGAGTGAGATACTTCTGATAGAGACAGGGAGTCATCTGCCCTAAGCATGTGGGGGACTCCCTTTCTCTCCAGGTCCAGCCCTTTGCTGACTTCTTTATTGCTAGGAGAAAGTGGAGGGGACCCCCCAGGGAAGCTTCCTTGGTGTGGGAGGGTTCCTCTGTAGGGAAATCTCCTTCCCCTGGGGTACAGGACCTGAATGCAGGTGAGTGTGTTTTGCAGGAGGTTCTGGATGCACTCAGTCTGATGCACCACAACAAATTTTAAATGCTGAAAGCCAGTTTCTTCAGAGGGAGTAGCAAGATGGAAAAGTTGGAGGCTTTAGGCAACATACAAAGAGGCGTTCTAGTAGAGCAAAGATGTGTGGATTTCCTCTGTGCTCTGCAGAAAGATCACTTTCTGGTCAAAACACCATTTCTGTTACTTAGGTGTAATCAGACAAGCTCACACTTCTAATAAAATTTTACAAAGAAATCTACTGTGCCTTGGCTGGTAACAAATTGTGTTCCTAAGCCATGACAACATAAGACAAAACTTAGTTGCTAGATTTTTAAGCCACTGTGAAAGGTAGTATCTCCAAGAGCTGTTCACAGGCAGCTTTTGTTTTGTATAATTAACATGTTGTTTCCCATGGAAATGGGAAAGTAAAAAATTGAAACATTTTACTTTTAAAGTAAAATGAGACCACCAAAAGAACAAAGGTGTGTAGCTCTGAGTTCATTTGTATTGGCAAACAAAATGCTTGTGTTTATCTGACTTCTTTATGGCCTCATCATTGTACTAATTAAGCTGAGTAACAGCAAGAGGAGCATCTAGGGCTTAAAACAAGGAGACATCTATGTGGAGGTTTGCTTGGGCAGAGGGAGGCCATCCTAGCACAGTGCAAATAGTGAAGCTGGAGGTGCCTGTACCCACAGCGCGTGGGCTCTGAGGAAGGAACAAAGACAATAACCTGTTGCTGGTTGATTGCTGGAAAGAAATGAGAGAGAGAGAGAGAAGTGAGTGTGGATGAATGAGATCAGGATGTGAGGTTGTTGCAATCCAGTAATACATCTGAGAAACTTCTCTGGTTTGCAGTGCGCAGAATATGTGCACATATAAAAGGGTCAATAAAAAGATCTATCAACTGTTTGGCTGTTAATGTTGCACGTGCCATCAAAGCAGCAATAAAAGTGACAAGCTCTCACTTCAGAGAAGCCTTCAGCTGGATTTATAATGGATATTGTTTATTATTTGTGATAGAGTTGGAAATTAAATATTTTAACATCAAAGGTGGCTGAAGTATTTTCTGCTTCTATTTTATGGATAAAATACTAATATCCATAGAATTCTATGGATAAAATACTAATACTTTTCATGTTAAGCTAAAAATAAAGCTGAAGATTTTTTTTCTTCCAAACATGACACGGCCTTGGTCTTCAGGAAACCTTGCACAAAGATTTGGCCAAGCCAAGTTGCCCCTGGGGTTTCATTGCTCTGCATTGCCACATGTGAAGCAGCTCTCCAGGCCGAGGCACTAGCTGCTGGCAAGGCTGGGTTTTTTTTACCCCCACATGCAACACTCCTGTGTTCCCAGGCTTCTTGTGGCTCTGTTAAATGAGAAACCGTTTTTCTTCTCCATGTTCTGCAGGGCCTTTGGTCAGCAAGCATGCAAACTGCTGATGCAACAGCATAGCAACGTAGAGCCTCTTATTTCAAGTCCTCTCGTGCTGCATTATGGTAAAACAAGTATCTTGTTACGAGTAGCCCTTGTCTTTTTAGTGCAATGTGGTAACTCAAAACAGCTTTGTGAAGAAGGTTTCTCCTGAGCTGTGGACAGAGTCCACACTCTTTGTGCCCCGTTTGGCTAACCATTGCTGTCCCAGTTAGCCCAGCCACTGTGGTGTGCGTGCATGTTGTGGGCGCCCAGTGCTGCGCTGCCTCAGTTTCCCTGCATATCATATAGGGATGATGTTTTGTAAATGTCTTTAAAAAATGTTTGAGATCTTTGAATAGCTGCAGGCTACTTGAGGGCAGAGCACTAGAATCCTGGGTAGATTTTCACAACCAGCAGGTATTTCTTCTTGTAAAATTTTCAAAGACTAAGATGCTGCATTTGGTGCTCTTGTGGTTTAAGCCCAGCCAGCAACTAAGCACTACGCAGCCATTCTATCACTGCCCCCCTCACCCAGTGGGATAGGGGAGAGAATTGTGGAAAAAAAAAGTAAAAGTTGTGGGTTGAGATAAGAATAGTTTAATAGGACAGAAAGGAAGACAATAATAATGATAATAACAATAATAAAATGGCAATAATAATAATAAAAGAATTTGAATATACAAAACAAGTGATGCACAATGCAATTGCTCACCACTTGCTGACCAATGCCCAGTTAGTCCCTGAGCAGCGATGCCCCCCAGGCCAGGTCCCCCCAGTTTATATACTGGGCATGATGTCACATGGTATGGAATACCCCTTTGGCCAGTTTGGGTCAGCTGTCCTGGCTGTGTCCCCTCCCAACTTCTTGGGCCCCTCCAGCCTTCTTGCTGGCTGGACATGAGAAGCTGAAGAATCCTTGACTTAGTCTAAACACGACTCAGCAACAACTGAAAACATCAGTGTGTTATCAACATTCTTCTCATACTAAATCCAAAACATAACACTATACCAGCTACTAGAAAGAAAATTAACTCTGTCCCACATGAAACCAGGACAGGTGCTTAGGAGATGATTTTGTTGCTGAAAGCATCCAGCTGCTATATAGTTTTTGCCAAACTTGTGGGCAAACTTTAAATAGAAGCAAAACACAGAGATGCTGAATATGATGAGGACACCATGCTGTCTTTTTTTTTTGCCACAGTTGCAATTTGAAATACATTTGTTTGAGAGAGTAGATGATAACTCTGACTCCCACATTGCTGCGACCTGTTGAACTGCTAGAGATGCCATCGTTGTTTTGTAGGAACCTTGATTCCCAGAGCTGCCAATATAGTTCTTTGTATTTGCTAACAAGAAATGAGCTTTTTCAACTAAGTTGCACAAAGCCCTATGGAAAACCGAAGTATTTATAAATATAAATTGGGCAGCACAATTAAGAGGTGTGTTGCAGGGAGTGGAAAAACAAGGCCTCTGCTTTCAACAGCTGCAGATGTCAGCAGGCAGGTGGTAGAGGCCTTAGCTCCTCAACGAAGAGATGAAAATAACTCTCCTTTTAATTGCTCTGCTTCCCTGGTGGTCTTGAGGGAAATAAAGCCTTTACTAGGCTGAGCAAAGATGCTTCTAGAAACTTGCAAATGGAGAGCGTCACCCACCTCGGCTGTGCAGAAAAAAAAGGTACTGCAGCGGGGCTCTTACCCTGCAGCCATTACACAGAGAAACCTCATTGCTTTACAGACTTTGGCTACGTTGACACTATACGTCAGAGCTGAGTTTGCCCCTAAACCTGTTCTCGGTTGCTCACTGATATGATTAAGGAGTAAGATTGGGTAATGCTGAGGTCGATGCTTCAGTCAGCTCTCACCAAGGTCACTAGAATTTGTTTATGCTTTTCTGAACAGGTGATTTGTTGTTTAATCTGACTTTTTTTTTTAACTTAATATGCCCCTATGATTTGCAGTCTGCTTATACAAGCCAACAAAGTTTATCTGGGCCTCTCAAAAATCGTGACATGTGTTTGCATACTGGCCTGCAAAAAGCTTTATCAGAAACAGCAGATATCTTTATGTACGTGACAGTTTGTATGTAGGAGAAGCCAAGCACCGAAAGACGGTAACTAAACTCAGTTTGCGGCTGTCAGATCCTCTCCATGGAGGGGCAGGGACAATCCTGCAGTGCTGGACACCACCACCCAGGTGTGAGTCTTGCTGGTGCTCCCTTCTGGTCCACGTCAGAGGTGTGGTATGGGGACAGCCTGCATTTCTGCTCTCCCAGCAGGTTGTTGGCATGTGGCGGAGGGAGCATCCTTGTTTTGCAGTGGAGGCACCCCAGAGTTAGGAATTGGGTCCCCCATGCAGCTGAGCTCTGGCACTGGATGGTTGTTCCAGCAGTGAGAAAGGTAGTGAGTCCTGCAAGGTACTGGATGCAGGGAAGAGTGTATACTCTGAGCTGTCATGCAGGCAGTTGCCTGCTTTTACAGCACGTAAGCTCAGAGCCTGCATCGTGCCTCGTTTCCAGCAAGAACAAGCAGTCGTGTCCAGTGCTCAGTTCTCCAAACTCTGCTAGGAGGTGGTGATCCTGAGATGGACAGCCTGGTCCCCAGGTGTGCCCCTCTGAAACATTAGAACTACTCTGCTCACTCCTTCTTATGACTTGACCATGGTTTCAGAGTGGAAGGGAAGAAAGATTTGCATAAAGAGTAAATCTGTGAGCAGACGCTTCCATCAGGAGACCCATAGCACCTCCTGCTTTTTGCACTGATGACCAGGTTGTTAATTTTGGGTTCGATTCCTGTGACCAGGCGTAAACTACTGCATCTGCTGAGGGCCATTGCTTCTTGTTGAGGACACCCAGGCTGACCCTGCACCTCGTCTTTGCTGTGATGAATTTATGACAGCAGCAAGCCCACTCATCCTGCCTGCCAGAAAGCACCCAGCAGTGAGACCTCGCAGAGTTCAGTCAGGGCCATGCAGGTTTTCATAGCAGGAAATTCATGGTGACAGATTGGTTGCTGCCTTGATAGATGCCTGGCTTTCTAATCTGAATGTTTAAACATTAATTGGAACTTCTAAACTTAAAGAACATTTAGTCTAAAATTGGCTGTTGCAGAAATAAGGGCCAGTGAACAAAACACCTGCGTGCTTTTCTGCAATTGCTGCTTTGCCCTCTTCCACTCTGAGGTGCAGCCAAGGTCCTGCATGGACTCAATTTGCTTTTCCCAGGTGCTGCTTTTTGGAGATCCTGAGGCTCAGCTGTGGGAACAGGTAGAAAATTCCCAACACGGGTTTCGCTCTCTTCTAGAAACCACTTTCCTTAGCAGGGCATAAACCTTAAGGCTGGAGCATTGCTGGGTGCTCTGCACACAGGACAACTTGTTGTTTCCAGCACTGGAGTGCAGTTGTCCGTGCTTTGGGCCATTGTAAATAGTAGAATCAGGATTAGGTCGCTACCAGTAACACTTGAGTTTTAACATTAAACTTAGAAGACACTCGCTCTGTGTACCAAAGGATGTCAAAGAAACGTTTCTTATAGTTTCTCTCAAACCCTCCATACTAGAGATTATATGAGCCCTTTCCAGAGCTGTCAACTGTGCATACTGGAGTGTGCTGCTGTCTTTTTTTAGCAGAGGTTTGATTTTCAGGTGGTTCGTGGATGGAGTCAGCAGAATGCGTGGCTCTTGCAGATGAAGCAGTTGCACCGGTTCCTCCCAGCTGTGCCCTGAGAGATGCAGGGTCTTTGTCTCAGTGCCACAGCCTGTGTCAGAGCCCTGCGAGCTGCCTGGGTGAGGTCTCGTTATGGCACTAATTAGAGAAGTCCTCACGCTGGAGCAGGTTGTAACGCCACTGCTGATTGTCTCCCTGGCGGATTAAAAGCAAACCCTCCTTAACAAGTGACTTGAGTAGCTTGAGCCACTGAACTCCCTAGGACCAGTAATTAATCCATCTGGTAACAAGGAGCGTGGCCTGCACACAGCAGTTCTGGGAAGGAGCTTTTAACTGTTTTTGCACCAGGCAACTCAATACCATTAGCAGGTTTATCTGAATAAACAAGACCTTATCTGGGGAACCTGAAGCATGTCAGGGTGACTGTTTGCCCTGCAGTGGAAGATGTGTCATGGACAGGTTTGGCCTGGGCTGGGAAAAAGGGCACCAAAGTGTTTTTTGTGTCTCCATTTATAATTCAGGGTTTTGGTACAGCTTCTCTGAGATGGCTCAGGATGTCCATGGACTGGAGGAACTGAAACGCAGCTGCTTCTCTGAGCAGGGATGATTCTTCTAGGATGTGCAGCAGATATGCTATATATGGACCCACAAGTATACTGGATTTTTATTGCCTTTGAAGTTCCTAGGCACTGCTGCAAGCTGTATGCAATGTAATAAATCATGCATACAAAGAAATTGCTTTCTTTTTACCAAAACACAGTTCAATTTTTCTATTTAACTGTGTAAGCTAAGGCCCACGTTACATCTTCCAATTGGGCTCTGGCTTTGAAGAGCAGTCCTGTATCTGAAAAGAGCCTCTGTAGATCCCACCGCATTTAGCAGTGTGCTTAGGGGCTTTAGGCTTTTTGCAGAGACCACAGGGACAATCTGCAGTCTCCTGTTCCTCTGAAGCATTCCTCCCTTCCTCTATCTGACAGATGTTGGAGAGGACTTTAGTACATACTCCCTATACTAACATGGAAAAGGCAGCTTGTAAATGAGTTGATTTACAGCTTGGAGCCAATGGATACAAAATCCAGACTAGAACCTTGATGTCATTCAAGCAGGATCGTGGCTGGGAGGAATGGACACTCTTATGGCAGAAGATCCTCTGTGAGCTGACCCATGTCTCTGCTAGCTGGGACCACATCGTGGCTGTGGCAGCAACCGATGCTGGCTCCGGCATGCTCTTCTATGGCTGTGCCCCAGAGCCCTGAACATGCAGGCATCTCGGGGTTGTAAGGTGGCCCAAGGACTCCCAGTGTACTGTCACAAGCTCAAATAACTTGCTATTAAAGTTATGAAGGGATTCAGGGAGGTGTTCTTCAATGCAGCTATTTAGCTTTAAGTTAACATGGTTTTCTCTGATGTATGTGGTCGTGAGCACTCCTTCTCTTCTTGCTCTGTTTCTGCAGCTGAACCAGCCTTTTCCTGAGGCTCCAGGCAGTCCCCAGTACAAAACCCAAATGTGTCATAAAACCCTGTGTGAGTTTTGTATTATCTTTGATAACGCTAAGGATATTACTTGCTCTTGGTGACGTCTGCTTGATTTGCTTTGCAAGTCTATTTTTAAGGTATTGTCTCCTGATGGTAAAGGCAGTCACTAGTTGACCAATTCTTGTGGGTGCTAAGGAGAAGTAAAATCAGGTTGAAAGGTGTCCCCACCCCGGCAAAAGTTAAAAGTAGGTTCAGAAAATTTGTCCAGTGTGCGTTATGTTCTGCAGGGGTGGAGAAGTGTATGTGTGAGATTGTGTTTTTTGCATTCGAGCAGCTCACTGAAGCTTCATTCTCTTTGCAGCATCTCTGTAAAATGTCGCCAGCTCATGTCTGAATTCCTGTCACCGTGGGGACATCAAATGTGTTTTTTTATTGTGTTATTCTGATTTTTTTTTTCTTTTTTCTCCCTTTCAGGTTAGCTAGCTCCCTTCACGGTAGTGTTTGAACCATGAAGTGTGTTAATACAGTGTGTGTTTGTGCCTTGTTGTTGTAATTGGCTGACTTTATTTTGTTTCCACTCTTCCACATGCTACTAAGCTGAATCTTGGGAGAAGATGGTGAAATATTTGTCCATCTTCCTTAAGCATTCAGGCCTCTTCCAGTTGATGGTTCCAACAACCATGGAAGTTAAATGTAATAACTTTGTACTATGCACCTCAAAACTACCAGAGATACGAGTTCCTAAAAAAACTCTCAAGCCCCTTATGTGGTTTGTTCCAGGCACAGCTGCGAGCTTTCATCCCTGAGATGCTGAAGTATTCCACAGGTCGTGGGAAACCAGGCTGGGGCAAGGAAAGCTGCAAGCCCATCTGGTGGCCTGAGGACATTCCCTGGGCCAACGTTCGCAGTGATGTCCGCACAGAGGAACAGAAGCAGCGGGTGTGTATCTCCCTCCTATGTCTGTTTGCCTTCAAACTGAGCGCAGGGGCTTGCAAGCAGTTTTTGTGGGAATAGTTTTCCCCTTGAGTGACAGAACAAACTACGACATCAGCCCTTCCTTGACTTCATGTCAGACATTCAGCCTGGGAGAGCAATGAGGTGAGAGACGTGTAACCTTCAGTCTGCTCTGTCCTTGCTGGCGTTGTGTGACAAGCAGGCATTTGAGCCACATCTCTTTCTGCAACGGGTGCCCTTTTTGCTAGCTGCAGAACCTGCTCACCTCTGTGGCCTTACGAAGCAGCCTACCCAGCCTAAGACAAATCTACTCTGCAAGTATGCAGGTCATTTACCACAGAGTCTGTATAACAGCCTCTTGAAGTCCTTGAAGGGATACTGTCCCATCCTGAGCAGCAGGGACCTTTGTACTTAAAGGGATGCAGTCAAGGATGTACAGTGGAGCCAGGAAAAAAAGAGAGAACTGGGTGAAAAGGTCTTGGGTATCAGGTATGGCCATGGATCTGGTATGCAGATGATGTTTCTACCAACCTGTCACAAAGATAATCAAAGAAAGCTACCAGGCTGTTCAAGGGGCAGGACTTGTGCAGGCTGGTGTAGGTCTGGTTGGATGGGGAGGGATGCCTTGTGAGGCTGGAAATGGTGCTGTGGCAGTTGGTGCTTTCCTAGGTAGGGCTGGTTTTCTACTTGTTGGCCCCAATCTCTTAGTTAGAATTCCTTGAAAGCTGGCGAAACAGATTTCATTGAGAAGCTTCTCTTTCCCTTGGCCAGATGAGCTCGTTCTGTATCAGTACACAGCAATGCAATAGCTCTCCAGGGTCATTTCTGAGTCTTGGGGAAAGGAAGGGATGAGGAGAGAGGGATTAGATATTGGGGTGTTTTGTTTGTTTAAGAATTTGTTGAAAATGACCCAATAAAACCCAGTAAAGATAAGCATGCAAATCACAGCAGTAGCAACACTGCAGTGGTTCAGAAAACTTTTACACTGACTCTTCACTCTTTTTCATTCTGCTGGTAGGTGTCATGGACCCAAGCTTTGCGGACTATCGTGAAGAACTGCTACAAGCAGCATGGGCGTGAAGACCTGCTCTACGCGTTTGAGGATCAGCAGACACAGCAGCAGACTACAACCACACATAGTATAGCGCACCTGGTGCCGTCACAGACAGTGGTACAAACCTTCAGTAACCCTGATGGCACCGTGTCCCTCATCCAGGTGAGTGAAACCCTCCAGCTTTCCATTTCCAGCACGGCTGATTCAGGACTGAGTTGCCTGCGTCAGGGAGGTGGTTAAGAGCAAACTCCTTTTGGTAGCTTAACTTGTCCTTCAAGAATTTTGTCTTTATCTGTATGTCTTAGCCCACAGGCTTGTTAACCCAATGCTCCCACCCAAAGAAGCAGTCTCATCCTCTCTCTTCCCCACTCCCATCCCTTGTTCTCCTGTTATGGCAGTACAAGCATTTCTGCAGCTATTTGGTCAAGCGATTCAGGGATCTGACCTGGATTTAACAAACCCATTTACAAACAAATACATTTCATCATGTGGCCACACAACGCCTGTGATGGCAATGGGATGGAGTGATGGGAGGAGAGGTGGTGGGACTGCCTTTCTTTAATGGCATGAAACGTATCTTAATCTACAGCACTAGGTATTTCTGTGCCCCCTGTTCTTCATCTTACACCTGAAGTGTAATACATATAATTACACACACCGAGTATATATTTATCCTCATGATGCCCCTTGCAGTAAGGATGCCTCTTACACCATTTTACAGAGCAGGCAGAAGGGTTCAGGCAGTGGCTCAGCAGTGCTGCTGTTTTCCCTGTATTCCCTGTGTGGGGAGGCAGGTTCTGACAGCTCAGGCTGTGGACAATTTAAGCGCTCTCTTGAAACTTCCCAAGAGCTCCTCATGGGTGTGAGATTTCAACCTCAGTTTTCCCTGTGCCCCTGCCTCCAAACCACCACCACCCTCTCATACATAATTGACCCAGAGGTTTGTCCCTCTTAAGCATCACGTTTTTAGTGAAGTCTCAAACATAATTTTCTGTTGGCTGTTCTTATCTCGCAACCATCAAGATAAAAATGTGGTGTGGGGGTTTGTTTTGGATTTGTTTGGTGGTTCTTTTTTTTTTTTTTTTTTTTTTTTTTTTTCAAATGAAAGCTTTTCAGTGATTGTTACAGCTTTCTGTTTCCCCCACCAAAGCCCAGCAGACTGGCCAAGCTGGTTCTGTTTGCTCACCTGCTAACGTACATTATGCCTTTGACTAGTGTTCTTTTAGGTGCCGGGCACATGAGATCCCATTGACTTTCTGGCATTTATAGGTTTAATTCTCCTTAGAAACAAAGCTGCACATCTCCCTGCCTTTGTCTTTTCCCACCTGTTAAATGGGAAAAAGGTAATTTCTAAATGCAATGGGGTATTGAGGATGAGCTAATGTTTGCCAAGTGCCTGGAGACGAGAGACCCAGTGAATGGTAAGCAAGGAGTGTTATAAATGAGGGCTGATGTGCAGGGTGTTCAGATACAGGACTACTCGGTGGTTTTTTAAGTGACTTCCATTCCACAGGAGAAGCGTGTTGGTTCCACCTGCACACCACGGTCATACCTGGGAATTGCAGCAGTGTCCCACAGCTGCTTTTTATGAAGCTGGGAGAATAGTGAGGACTCTGTCTCCTATGTGAACATAGGGGACAGCACAAGGGCTGTGCAAAACTTGCTTCTGGACCATATCCTCTCTGGAAGCTGCCATAGATTAACATGGGTCTAGCATATGATTTCCTCGCCCAGCCCTTCGAGACAGCTCTGTATTTTCTGTGAGCTCTGCAATTTCTATTATTCTCTGCAGATACAATGCTTTTTAATCTGAGAGCGTTTGAGTGTCCCTTTGCCTGAATTATGTGGACATTTTCCTGCAATAACAAATGTGTTCAGCTGCATTTTGTTGACTTCCATAGGTTGGCACTGGTGCTACAGTTGCCACGCTGGCCGATGCCTCAGAGTTGCCTACCACAGTTACCGTCGCACAAGTCAATTATTCTGCAGTGACTGATGGAGAGGTAAGGATTTGGGTCATGTTCATGATGCACAAGCCAGAATTGTCCTATCTGAGCTTCAATAAAGTTAAATGTTTTCTAGAACTAAGTAGTTCACAGAAAACACCAAGCCTTGCTTCCCCACCCTGCAGTGTTAAGTGAGCACGAGACTCTCTAAAATTTTATGTAGAAAGTGCTGAACCGTTGTCATTTTGACTCAGGACTGTACAAATGCAATTATGGTGGAAGCCTCAGTTCTGAATTTCATACATTTATTTTATATCTCCTATAGATTATTTATTTTGTGAGATCTGCTGTAGCAGATAGAGACTTAATGACACACACAAGTACACATTCGTGTATTCATATTGAATAACTGTTTCGCGTGTGCTGTAGGTCCTGGATGCTTTTTTGTCGGTTCAGGGTTAGGAGTGATGCCTGGGATATTTTGAGCCTGTGGTTAGCAAAGGATATTGCATGGCTGTGGGCAAATCCTGTGAGTCTTTGGCCACTGATCTCTGGATGAAATGGGACTGTTCCATCGCTGCAGCTTTTAGGGAGGTTTGCAAGTAAATCCCAGAGAGAGCTGTATAAATGCACCATAGTATAGAGACAACAGGAGATCCTGCAGTTACTGTTCTGTTTACTGTGAAAGTTTCTTCTACTGCTTTACAACTTGGCAAAGTTGCTTCTATTGAGGACTTGATCAGACCATTTCAATCCCAAAATCTGAATACTCAAATTTACATGCATTTATTTTTCCACTTTTTTTTTAAATTGAGTAATAAAGGTTTTTTTGTATGTGTTTAAGGAACATTATGGAGATTTTTTTTAAAGTCATTTTGGTTTTGTGGTTTGTTTTTTGTTTTGTTTTGTTTTTTTACCCTCTTCACCCCCAAACCCACCTTTAAATCAGGCTGCAGGTCTCTTTCTGCCCCTTTGCATGCCAGAATTTCTGGCCGGACAGTCTGTGCGCAGGAGTGGTGAGGTCTGGTCCGCTCTGCTCTGCGTGGATGGGGCTTTCACAGCGACAGGTGGCAGCACAGAACAGCTTTGCTCTGCACCAGACCCTGTCTCCATCTCAGACCCACAGTGAAACAGCCTGGCTCTGGGGCTGTGACCTTGAAGTACTTTGCAGCTGCTTTGAGGGTTTTCAAGAGCCGTTTGTATCTCTTGAGATCTGAAAGAAATTTTTCAAAGGCACAGGTAGAAGTCAAGGGGACACAGGCATCTAATTCCTAATGTGAACGCAATGTCTAAGCGATATCTTGGACAAAACAAACATACAAAAGTAAACTTGCTTTGGGGATGGGTGCTGTTTCTCTGCACAGATAGATCCACAGCCTGCTGGCAGGCTCTCTAGGGACATTTTTGTCCTGCTATCTCTTGCTGTGTAAAGATCTGAGTTAGCTCTGAGTAAATCGATGTGTTTACAGGATGCTGAGCAGCATGGAGCAGGGACGCTTACTAGTATCTCAGCAGTACAACCTTCCTGCTAGTATGGAGAAGGGCCTGGACAGAACCCCTTCTTTTTGACGCCTTACTCCGTCCCTGTTCTGAAACAGCTTAGGCATCTTTGCAGGGCACTGTATGTCACAGTGGAGACCTGCCTTACCGCTCAAATGTGTGTTGCCATGTATTTGAAAAAATGTATGTCTGTTCCTCTTCTGCATGGTGGTGGGAAGGGTGCCTTTCCCAGGTCGGGCTTGCTTCAGTTCAGTTTTGGGGTGGCTAACAGGTACCACAAACTTGATTCGACTCTCTCAAGTTCTCTACCATCTGCAACTTCTTCCTCTCTGGGCACTCAAACCTGGTTGCATCTTTCTTAAAAGATGTTGCCTTTTCTAAAATCAATTTCCTTTCTCCTTTTTGCAATGCACTATCACTGCTTCCTCCCTAATTTGGATCCTTCTGCCCAGGGTCAGCTCTGGGCACAGGAGAATGAAGCAGTTGCCTTGAACGTCAGACGGCTGGGGATGGCTAAAGAGCTACGACGAGTGCCAGCTTTGCTTGTGCCCAAGTGCTGGAAAACCAGATTGGCAGCTGCTGAAGAGTGTGTGATAGCAGATGTGAGTGAGAGCGCGACAGCTTCTCTCTCCCTCTCCATCCTGTGATGGGACTAACCCTTTTCTTGTACAAGGGCAGCAAAATTTACTTGTCCTTTTGTGGGGACCCTTGCACCAGCTCTGCTTCTGTGGACTTTTTAGCTTTCTCCATCTTAACAAATTGAGGGCTTTTTTTGTCATCACCTTCTACGGCATTCTTATTTGTGAGTCTCAGCAAGATGGTGAGTGGCCTGAAACATTTATGGGGATGAGAACAGTGATGGGAGGGTGGGGGAAGATCTTCATCTTGCAAAGCAGCCAGTAGGATTTGTCAGCTGATGGGCCTTCATGCTCCACTTCTTTAGTTTTTTTGGTCCAATGCCTATTTCTAGTTCACATCCTGGTGGATTTTGTGGCTGTACACTCATTATCTCATGAGCTGTGAAGTCGCAAATGGAGAAATGTGGGCAAGGTGGAAAATGAGCAACCAAGACTGGGTGAACTTTAAGTAATATGAAACCTATCTACGTAAAGGTCTGAAGTACGGGAGTTGAAAGTACCTGAAATATATGAACAGAGTACTTTCTATCTGCCATCTTCTTTTATTAAGTATATTGCTGCAACACAAAGAGATTCCAAAGTTGGCTCAAACCCATCCAACTTCACAAGTGCTGTACAAATAAATCCTGAATGAGAACATGGGCTGTTCGCCAAAATGACAGAGGATGGGTGCAGCCAAATCGAAACAGTGAGGCAAGCGCAGCCCATTTCCCCTGGGGACGTGATCCACACTGGGGTTCCAGCACCGCAGAAATGAAGCTACTTAATAAACTGCCCAGGCTGGCAGGCAGTGATCCAAGTACAGCAATGATCAACACTGTCCCATTTTGTTGTGGACGTGGCTGGACAAGAGGGATTTGTGGGAGGTTGAGGGGCTTTGCAGATGTTTATGGGGCACACTTTCCATGTCCGTGAGAAAACTAAGGTTCTTGTTTGAAGATTGAACATATGGAGAACAGCAGCTAAAATCATGGGCTGACTAGAGAAACTCACTCATGGCTGATAGAGGGTTGCAGGATCCAGCAACGTTCTGAGGTGGATCCCAGGCTTCCTCTCTTTTTTCCCTGTCTGTCAGAGTCAGAGCATGTGCAGGATTCTGCAAAGACCTCTTGAAACTATTTGGCTTTCATTTTAGGAAGCAACTGTGCATTCATGGGATAAGATCCTATCCTAGGGCCTTTCTTTTTGTTTTTCCCCATAGGTGGAGCAGAACTGGGCAACGCTACAGGGGGGTGAGATGACTATCCAGACGACGCAGGCATCAGAGGCCACGCAGGCGGTGGCATCATTAGCAGAAGCAGCGGTGGCAGCATCTCAGGAGATGCAACAAGGAGCCACTGTTACCATGGCACTCAACAGGTATGGGTGAGAGATGAAGGCTTGAAACATGCGTGCATGACATTTCCTTCTAAGTTTTCACTCTAATGGTGCAAAGACCACTGTGTAAAGTCCTAGTAGAGGCTTTTCCTTAGCAAATTCCTATGTCAGCCCATGTCCAGGTGTCTGCAGGACAGTTTCCTGCAGGACAGTTTCCTGCAGAACAGTTTCCTGATTTCCACTGTAACCATAGAAGAACACTGAGATGGAAATTTCCTGAAAGAGGAAAAGATGGGTAGTAACTGTACCCTCTAAATGATCTTATTTGTACAGCAAGTGTCCAGTTACAGAATTAAGCTTGCTAAGCAAGCAAGAGTCATGATGTGCTAATAGCACCTTTTAAGTATGTTGGTCTGGGTCTCCCTCAGTATTATTAATGGTTTCTTACCAAATGCTAAGGCTGAATTTCCCTGTGGTGTGGCAGTATGGTCTTTCTTTAGAAACCAGAATCTCTTCCAGAGACCAGTGTTCTGGGGGTTTCTCCCAAACGTGTTTCTGAAGTACAAGGTGAATGAGCTGCAATAGTAATGCTGCCTCTTCATCTTGGAACGAGCTTTGTTAGATTTTTAGTTGTACTCAGGTTACCAGGATCTGCAGTGTAGTTCTCTACAGGTTCATGCAGCAGGAAGCAGTGTCTTTGCTCAGCTCTAGTGAGTTGCTGAAGCTTTGCCTGCTGTTCTTAAAAACTGGAAGTGGCTATGGCACACTGCAGCTGTACCCTGAAACACAGCATTGGCCCCAGCAGCATGGGAGGTTTCACACTGCTGAGGTGTAGACAAAATATTTTCTTCATTCAAATCAGGATTCTGGTCTAGAGGCTGTTGACTGAGCAGCTGTGAGTTAGGACAAGGCACAATTCCACACTGCTGATGGTCAGAGTAAAGCTCCAAGACCTTGTTATATACACAAATTACTAAAGCAGTCACCTTGATCTTGGGGGCATTCAACATCTTGGTTCCAAATTGCTGTTGCAGCTGAATCACAACCACACATAGAACTGTTTCTTCTCTTTGTGGTCCAGATTCAGGTCCATCAGATATGTTCTTTTCTGCTACCATATGAGGTTGCTTAAGTAGTTGGGACTTTGCTAATAGTTTCACTGTAAAATTGACTTTTGAAAACAAGTGATCTTTTTAGGACCCTGTAAGAAGAAAAGCTAAAGTAACTAGGCACAGAGTTGCAGGAAAAAGCCCTGTCTCCCAGAATCCAACTTGCAGGATTTGTATCCTGCACATTTCCAGGCAATAGATTTTTCTATGGTTTTTTTTTTTTAAGAAGTTTTTCTGGACTAGAACATCAGTGGGGCTTTGATTTTAATTTCATCCCATCGCTACTACTTTTAGTTCTTAAGGTTGCAATGAGCTGTTCCTTTCCCTGTATTAGCTAAAGAAATTCAGAATCCTTAATAAAAAGAAGTGTTGTTAGAACTAAAGAGAGTTTCCTAGAAAATATGAATGGAAGAACCTTCAACAAATCATTTAGTCTCTACTGTGCATCAAGACAGGATCAGTTGTGTTTATACCCAGGAAAGCCCTGTGATAAGTCTGTTCAAACAGCTTGTAGTTCAGGAGAGATGCGAAGTCTGTGGCAGCATTGCAGTGGGAGTGAGGGGCCTTGTGTTTTATTTCCCAGCTTGTTGTCACCCTCTTTGTCTACTGACCATGGTAGTGCTGGAGACCTTTCTAGGTGACTGTCCTCCAACACCTGTCCATGTGGAAGAGGTGTACTTTTTCCTTTGCCACAACATGCTCCTTGTAGCTTTCAGCTGTAGGACTGCAGTCTTCCCCCTGCCTGTAGAAAGATCTCAGCAAGGCTCTGGTCCTTGAAATCTGGTGGCTCATCCCAGCTCTGGAAACTTTATGCCTAATTTAGCTGAAAGCTGCCATCTCTGAATCTTGTTCCAATGGCTGCTGACGGAGTGCAGAGTCTTTCATAGGCCCACGTAGAGCAGTACATCTGCCAACAGCATGACGTGATGGATGACGCAACCTCTGTCAGGTTTGAGGATGGGAAGTATTAGGCCTTTCTAGTAAAAGAGGACAAAGTGGAGGTGGGTAATTAATTCATTGATTTGGACCAATTAATGTTTGTGGAGCACACTGTAACTGGAAAAAGCTTTTATGCTGCAGATCATTATTATTTTCAGGGATGCAACCGTAACAGATTATTAAAATGCTCAATTCCCCTTGAAAGTTGATTCAACTAAGTGCTGTGTGAAGTCTGGGAAACAGGGTTACACCAGTAAATCCATGCTTACCCCAGGTTTGCTGTGTTGTAGTTGGCCTTCCTGCAGTGTAACTGCCTTTCACGTAGCTGCAGGTTCAGAAGAGAGATTAGCCAAAGGGAGTAAGAAAGCAGAACAAGAAAATGTTCTGGTTCACTAACAGTGTTTAAGAGCTACTCTGAGACAGAGGGGCTATTTAGAAATGAAAATACACCATGAGTGAATACAGTTGGAAAGTGTACAGCATCTAAGGAGGAAATTAGGAAAGAGAAAGAATGAGTGGGAAGTACTTGGAAAATATTTGAGTCAATTGGTCTACCAGAGAATGAGCAGGGCAGTTAAGGAAGAGCATCCTCGGGGAAGCTAAAGAAAATACCTACTTTTTTAGTTCATTAAGGTAAAAAATGGTAGGAGATTCAGCTGCAGGAAGGAGGTGGCTTTGGAATAATTTTGTGACTAGCAGTAGGTCACCAGAAGTGGCTAATAGTCATCCAACAGGTCTGGAGAAATCTGGACAGCTGCTGAAGGATGCTCACAGCACTCTGACTGGGCAACCAAATGGCAAATAAAATACAATATCAACAAATGCTAAGTGATACACATACGAAGAAATATCTCCTGTATATACACAATAAGGAACTGTATGCTACCAGTTACCATTCAGAAAGCATTCAGAGGACTATCCTCCAGGAACAGTTTGTCACTGCTGAGCAGATACTGTCAAAACAGTAAGTTGAATATTAGGAATTATAGGGAAAGCCATAGAGAACAAGCCCAGATTAGGCCCCTGGACTAACTCATGGTGTGTCTACAGCTTGAATAGTGTGAGAAATGGTCACCCCCCTCAAACAGATGTCTTACATTAGAAAAAGTCTGGAAAAGACAAGAGTGATCAGAAGCCAGGAAGAGCCCTTGCACAGTAAATGGACTATAGCTTTTCAGCTTGGGAAAGAGTTCACTAGAAGTCTATGAAATCATGAGGAAAATGAAACGGGAGCAGTTATTTTTTGTTTCTCACAGTATCAGACTTAAAGGCTGCTCAGCCAGACTGAGGCAATAGTTTTCAGACTACCAGAATGCAATTTTTCTTCACACAGCATCTAATTAAATGTGGAACTCATTGCTACAGGATGTTGTGGAAACAAAAAGTATAAAAGGGTTTCAAAGGGGATTAGACAAATCAAACCTGATGGTCCAGATGCAGTCTCTGATGTAGGAAATCAATACACTGCCGACCGTCGGAAGCTGAGAGGGTGTAGGAAGGGAAGGATCATGCACACTGCTTCCTAAATATCTGATACTGGCTGTTCTCACAGTTGCTACACAAGAAGGACCTTTGGTCTGACCTCATTCGTATGAAGAAATATAAGAATACTGTGCTAAGCTACTGATCACTCATTAAAAAGAATTATTAAACCAC